TTCACCGAAAATAAGACAGGGTCTTTGTGACGGCTGCGATGACGTCACCTGCCTATCAATGTTATGCTGGAGCTCAACTGCCTATAGCAGGGCAGGAGGTGGGACTCCAGGAGGTGGACTTAACTGGGGCTTATTTTTGGGGTAGGGCTTCTATTACAAGCATCTTGAAAAATCAAACTAGAGCTTATTTTCAGGTTAGGTGTTATTTTCAGGGAAACAGGGTATATATACAAATTCAGGGACACTTGCAAGACAGATAATGGGGGAGGGTGTTCCTGCAGTCCCTAAACATCATGCGCCAACTGCTTACATCACCACAACACCACCAACAAAGACATCCTCCATTATTTTACAGAACAAAACAACTGATCACATAGGGAAAAGTCCACTTGAACTGAAAAAAAGTAGAAGCCCCCAGCAGTGGAGAAAAACTTTTTTGCATTGGGAGCAAAAAGGGCCAGACTGATTCAAATTGGCCATTGGGTCACGTGATCAGTAAAAAAAATAATATGGATTCATGCATTTAGAAACTGAACAAATCCCACAGTATTTGACTGTGTAGTTGCAAGTAACCTAAATAGGATTTTTACTTTTTAATTTGCACATGAGGAACCTGGATGATCATACGTTCTGTACTTGGATAGCTCTTGTAAAAACTCCACTGTTCTGTAAAAGGACAAGGCAGCCTGTCCCCCTGCTAAACAGGTCCCGGAAGTTTTCTTTTTGCTTTTTCTGATGTTTAGCTGAAATCGCTTTCCATCTGTTGGTTCTCGCCCTGCTCCCTGGAGCAACAGAGAACAAGTCGGCACCATCTGATGCAGGATGAGATGGACCTTTCTGACATTCTTCTGCTCAAGCAGCTGTTGAGAGTGATTGATCTTTTCAGCAGCTTCTTTGGTGGTTTGCCTGGAGGGGATACAAAAGCAGCAATACTTTCCAGATCAGACGAGTGAATCAAAACATGCGCCTCTTGTTCCAGGAACATAAGATCCCAACTGTCCCAGAGACAGTGAATGAAATCAAGTAGTGAGTTGGAACTAGAGTAGGCTCATGGAATCAGTTGGGGATCTGGTGAGTCAACTCATCCATAAGTTTCATTCATGCAGTGGGCCTACTCTGCTTGTGACTTACTACTGGATTTTAGCCAGTGTTTTGTTTTTCTTCTAGCCCATAAAAAGGTGAAGACTACCCATGGAGTTTGGGAAGGTAAAAGAGTCCAGGTATTAGAAGGCTCAGACGTGCTTGAGCCAGTATGTAGGGTGGGGTACTGCATGTGAGTCACCAGCCCACGTTCTGAGTCACTGCTTTGTTTTGATGGAGGGTGAAGTGCACCAGAGAGTAAGTTAGGGCTGGCTTCTGTATCCTACAGCAAAAAGGCAGGCTAGTTGACGCCTGGAGATCTTTGCTAAAGGAAACAAGATGCATGTTTATTTCTGTGGCACATTCTTCACTGTTGACAAGGCACAGCTTCTCTGGTGAAGATGCAGGTGTGTGATTTCTGATAAGCTGGGTCGAACCGGCAATGTAAGTCAGTGACTCATGCCCGGCTGGTCCGGCTCTACCATAAATTAATATGGGGCAACTCTGGCACCTATAAGAAAAATAATAAGGAGGATAATAGTAATTACCTTCTGGTAGAAAACAAGTGCCAGTTTGGGAATGGCACTGGTGAAGTTGCTTGCTAAAAAAAGTCCCAATCTGGGACAGCTTTTGCCTCAGTCGCCTGGATGTCAAAACAAATAAGCAATCCTCTGAAGATGCCGGCCACAGAGACTGGTGAAACGTTAGGAAGAACAACCTTCAGAACACAGCCAAAGAGCCCGAAAAACCCACAATAGCCAACAAATAAGCAATCATTGATATTTCATTGCTCTGAAACATGCACGGGGCAATTGAAGGGGTCGGTTATAATTTGAAAAGCTCAGTCTTTTTCAGTTTATGTCCAGCAGATTTTTTTTGGGGGGGAGGGGGGTACCTCCTTTCTGTCTCATTACTATGTCTGAGATCTATTAAAAATGTCCTCTTCAGGATACCATCTCAGTGCCACACAGATTCACATGTCAGGGCTCTGAAAAGGTGTCGTTCTGTTGGCTGCCTCCCAATTATGTCACTCCTGACTTCTGCAAATTGCCTTCAATCCAGACCTTGATCATTTTGCAGCTTCTGTCTGCTAGGGTTGGTCTTTGAGGGTTGATTCAGGAATGAATGGGGAAATTTCACTGATTTCACTTCAGTTTTATTATGTGTTGCTCCTTAAGGCGCTCACACACAGCATCTTTGTTTGCTTTGTCTAATCTGTTTGAAACCAGAAGCATTTGACAAGCTATGAGTATAGAAACTGTATTGGATGGAATATAGGGGACATGGTTTTGTACTGTCTGTATTTGGAGACGTGGACTTTGACCCGTGCAAATTCAAACTGAAATAAATCTGTTTTGAAAGTGCTACACTTTCTTTCTTTCTTTCTTTCTTTCTTTCTTTCTTTCTTTCTTTCTTTCTTTCTTTCTTTCTCTCTCTCTCTCTCTCTCTCTCTCTCTCTCTCTCTTTCTTTCTTTCTTTCTTTCTTTCTTTCTTTCTAATGCAAACCCAGAATGTTTCAAAGATCTGCCTGTGAGTCAGCTGATCTTAAGTCATCTGTGTGATCAACCCTGGGATGCTCTTTGCATGCCTCAGTCGCTTGATCATTAGGAGGACTAATTGACAAAGCTGATCCTGCTCCATTCTGTGCAGCTGAACTTGACCCTGCTCCAAGAAGTCAAAATGAGATATTTAATTACAGCAGGGTGAACTCACCTATTTACGTACTTGGTGACTAGTAGTTTTGCAGTGACTGACTGCAACTTTATTGAAATTATTGGGTTATCAAAGTGCTGGTGCAAAGTTTCCACAGTAATCTGGAGGAAAGTTGCCTGATCCTGTACCTGTGCATTTGCTGTCCTGAGATATACTGAAGGCATTGTTAACTAGTTTAGATGATCTGCAAAGGTGTCCAGAATCATTCACTGCTGCCACTCACTCATCTGTTGATGTTGCAGCTTGCTGCCTTTGACTGCTTCCACTGGGTAGTGCTAGAGACTGGATCTTTTGCTGAGCTGAGTCTTGACTACTGCCAGAAGCATACTGGCTGTGTCAGCAGATGATTGATTCCAGAGCTTAGAAAAGTTCCTTTCTGGATCACAACTCACAGTATCCTTCCTATGAAGACTAGAGGATTTGGGGAATTGTGGTCCAAAAAGTAACTTTTTCAAGCTCTGAAGGTGGTCATTTGCTCACACTCTTTCTGCTCCTACTTCCCAAGCACTTTCTGTGTCCTTTGCTTGGCCCGCCAGCTTCTCCCTCAGCAGCAACGGGGAAGAGTTGTAGTAGATGTTCTCACAATAAAGAGGGAGATGATGCTAAGGGCAGCCTGAGCCCTGCTCTCTAAAACTGGGGAAACATTGTCTGAGTTCTAACTTTGCCCTTTTGCATAGATACATTCAAGATGAAGCATGGAAATGTTTAATTTCAAGGAGCATTTTACGGAAGGCGTACATTTGTGAGTAGGCCTCATAGCATAACAGGATGCCTTGACAGAGACATTATGAGAGGCACACAGAAAATTTGTTGTTGTTATGTGCTGTCATGTCACCTCCGACTCATGGCAAACCTATGAACGAGCCCTCTCCAATATGTCCTGTCCTCAGCCACCCTTCTTTGCTCTTGCAGACTCAAGCCAATGGTCTCTTCTAGGGAGGCAGTCCATCTCATATTTTGTCTTTCTCTTTTTCTACTGCCTTCCACCTTTCCTAGCATTATTGTCTTTTCCGGAGAATCTTGCCTTCTCATTATGTGCCCAAAGTACTACAAGCCTCAGTTTCAATATTTTTGCTTCCAGAGGTAGTTCAGCCTTGATTTGCTCCAGAACCCACTTATTTGTCTTTCTGGCAGTCTAGGGCATCCGCAAAGCTCTCTTCCAGCACCGCCTTTCACACTAATCAATTTTTTCCCCTGTCCGCTTTCTTAACTGTCGAACTTTTGCACCCGTTCATTAAGATCATAAAGACAAGAGTGTGGATGATCTTGATCTTTGTCTCCAATTACACATCCTTATACAGTACTTGATGATTGTTTCTAGTTTGTTTAATCTCTGTTTCAATTTCTTCATTGTCAATTTTAAGTTGTGTAGTTCTTCTGTAGCCATGATTTTTGTCTCCTTAACTTTCAGCTGCCATCTTGTTTTGGCACTTTCTTTTTTTCACTTTCCCTAACAGTCCATTTCAAGTCAGAAAATTTATCTCTTCTTTAACAAGGCAATGTTCCATTCTATGCAAACTCTTAAGAGCCAGACTGGATCTTAGAGGGGATGCATATTCCCTGGAATAACTAACTTCCCTTTCACTGTGGAATTTCCTTAGAATGCCTCAGCAATCAGACTTATGAATGGAGCCTGTGTTTACTTTTCAATGACACTCATTAAAACAATGCACCCTAAGACTTAGGTGAGAAGATACTCTGTTCTGACAGACATCTTTTACTACTTATGGATGCATGTCTTTTGGAAACACATTAAATGTACAATCATGTTTGCTGAAGTCACTTGGGTG